CTTCAAGGCTTCAGGTCGTCACCAGGCTTCAATGCTTCAAGGCTTCATGTCTTCAGAGGAAAGTCACCCGGGATTGCCAACACACTGTATGAATCCTACAGTGTAATTATACAGTATGGACTTGACACTGTGCTGCTGGAAGACGCCCTTGTTGAGAGTATGTTCAGAGCTGAGTGGATTGCATAGAAACAGTAGTAGCATCGTAGTGTGTAGCAACAGTCATACCAACATGATATCTGGTGAGGTATCTTTGCCGGTGTCCCGCGGGCAGAGCAAAAAGTAGGCCTCGCGAAGATGCAATCCTTTTGGAATGTGAAAAGGGGGTGTGACGCTTTATTTAGCTTTTTAGGCGGCTGGAGATCTCATGCATCCCTCGCTGGGCCTTGGGTTTCCAGATGTATTCGTTGCACCACACTCACTAAGTCACTAAGTCCATTACAAATACAGGGGCCCAAGAAAGGACGAGCCAATGTGCAAGTCCATCCATATCCCCTCCTCCCCTCCTGAGGCAGCCACACGACTCTGAGCTGCCAGCGAGGCGCTCCATGTCTCCAGCATCTAAGCCTGTCCCAAAGCAGATGACCGAACATCCCCGTGCACCTCGAGAGCGGTCTGCAGACAGAATGTGATTTGGCTATAGTTGGCTGCGGATGTGGATGGGTTTGTGAAGTGGGACCCTGACTGTCAGTATTGTGTGCATGCCAAGAAGGGTAATTCCAAGGGCATTGAGATCAGGTCAGTAAGGTCATGATGTTCTTTTGGCGGGACTGCAATGAGCTTCTGAAGCGTGCGGCTGGGTGCGGGGTGGAATAATGAAGCTTCCACTTTACGACATGCTGTCGATAGCTTTTTCGGCCTGCTTTTGATGAAGAACATTCCAAGTTTCTGGTGTCTCAGCTTTTCATAGGCCTTTCCGAAACAAAAGCAGATAAACGGAGGTTCGAATCTGGGCGCGTTCTTCTTTGTGCGCAAGGAACTGAACCTCCTTCTCCAGACTCTGAGTTCGGGGTTGCGAAACATCGCCAAGAAACTGTTCAGCTTAGGCCTGACCAAGATCCAGGCGCAAGCCAAGCGAGTTTTGGCGGGTGGATTTCAGAGTTGCTCCTAGTCTCATGACTTCAAATGCTATGCGTTATTGACCTGTTGAAACAAATCAGAAGACAGCTAGAAACCAGCTATGAATCCTGGAACGTGTGTTTAATTCATGACGTCGACGGCGGCCAAATTTCATGCAACTCACATGGTGCAAGTGCAAGTCGCGGGCGTATTTAGTGCGAGTCGAGCCAAGCACGAGCCAGATACACACCACTTGGAGGATGCGGACCAGCCACCTGCAAAGGCGACTCCTGCAGAGATGCTCAGGTGCAACTAGCGCCAGCTGGATTCACCGTGGATCAGCTGTTTGCAACAGCCTTTGGATGGCCAAGGGGGCCATGCTAGGGTAGAACTGCAAGGGAATCGCTTCGGGGAACGACGCTTTGCACCAAGGAGGCCTCTGAGCAAGAAGGTCCCAGTGCAGGGTGAGAAGGGCGCAAGCAGTGGCCATGATGATGAGGGGAAGTCTGCCATGGAATGGCAGAAGCAGCAGCTGGCAGAGACATGGCCGAAGTTTTTGACTGGCTCAGCACCGCGCGCCCAGTCACGGGTGCCGCGACGTGGCCCATGCGAGGTCATGGTGTTGTTGGAACACATGTGTTGGGAAGGTGATGATCCTTGATGGTGAAGAAATGCGGCGAGTTGTCAGTGCTTGGGAGTTTCCAAACCATGGGGCGGGGCTGTCGGGCAGGTTTGGTTGGTTCTTCCCTCTTTCCCAGAGCAGATTCTGTTGCACACTTTCTTGATTTACGTCATGACATGTGGTAGAAACAAGTACTAGTGACGCTTGTGTGCAAAGCCTTTTGGACGCTCTGCTACAAAAAGGCACAAGCAGCCGCCCCTGCAAACCCAAACCCAAACCATCTTGAGGGGTGGTCCCCGGAGATTTCCTTGCAGCTAGGCTGGGCCTTCCAAAAGAAGGCCGTTTGCCCAACCCATCACGAGATGAATGAGTTCGCTTGCAGATTTTCCTTATTGTTTGTTTGCACCAAGGATGGCATTGTTCTCTTGAAGAGGTGGGTCGGTTTTGAGCACACCTGCCTTCAGCTGCGCGTCAGCACCTTGGTCCGAAAGGAGCACTGGAGTGCAAAAACTCAGCCCAAATCGCTGGCACCTGAAAGTTTGATTCCAACAGGGGCCCCAAAGATGGCGTCTAGGCACCCACACTGGCACACCGAAACTTCAACATGTTTTTTGGATTTCTTTGGACGTTTTTGAGAAACGGACTGTCCATGGAGTTTATGATTGTTTCTGGCAGGCAATAAGAAGCTCTCTGACATGAAGTTCACCGTGAACATCGCAAGCTCACTCAATCTGGACGCGGTGTTTCGATCTGTCCTCAAACGATCTGGTGCTTTGTTTCGATTGTGGCATGGTGACCAACAGAGAGTTTCCTCTGGTTTGAAGGTTCACTTTGACACTTTAAGAAGCTGCTTAGGCTAATCTTTTTTTGGTCGGCACAGGCCAGTTTGCATCTCTGCTGGTGGCTGCCACAGGAGTTTGAGAAGCCTCCAGCCGCCAAAGGGAAGACAAGCTGTTGTGTCACTTGATTGCAGTCGTTGGCTGGATGGATGGATGGATGGATGGATAGTTTTCTTCTAGTGTTGAACGGTGAGCAGTGAGGCCATTTTGGCCGGGGCATGACGGCCCTGAAAGTGTGCCGCGCTCCTCAAAAGAATTCGACATCCATATATATAGTCGTCCGCTCTGCCTCAAAGGTGGTTTCTGCCGTGGGCATGGTCATCCTCCTTTTGGTTGGCTCGGTCAGCCTCAGGGAAGAGTTGCCTTGGAACAGGGCCTCAGCACAGGTTGAGAGCCAGTGGTCTGTTCTGTGCTGGGAGTGCTTCCTCGGAAGAAGGTGTCAATGGTGGGGTTCGGCTTGATGGCTGCTCCCTTGCATGGCTTCTTCAGGCACTGGGTCGGTAAGCTTCTTGGTAATAACAAACGGAAGTGCTGAGGGCGGCGGCTGGGACGGCTGTTTGGGCTTCAGCTTGCAAGCCAAGACAGGATTCCTGAAGCCTGGTCTCAATGACCTCAACAGTCAGGCCTTGGCGCACACGGCAGTTGCAAACATCACACTGGTAGCCCCTGCGGTGTTAGATTGATCCACCGATGGCTTTCTTCCTTGGCCAGCTGGAGGCACTGTTGGATGAGATGTTTCTTGTGCTGTTTGGTGTGACGGCCTACCTGTTTGCCAGGTTTCTCATGGATGTAGTGTGTGTGGTCTTTGTACGCCGTGGTCAAGCGGTCGACTGCCTGGTTGTAGTGTGGACCTAGAGGTGGTCGTCATCAATCACCTGCTGCCATTGCTTTTGGTGTTTGACGCAGATTTGGTTGGCATGCTCCCATGCAGTAAACCCTGCATCTCTCTGCCGTCGGCGGAGGTGCGGCTCTGACCCCGGCTGGTCTGGTGTGCGGCTCCGCTTGCTGATGTACAAGGGTGTAATGCGGGCATAGTCAGCATCAGTGAGGTCCTGTGCCAAGTCCTGGTATCCATGCCACTTCTGGCGTTTTGTCCAGCTGGACGATTACTTGGGCCGGTGTTGTCCGATGTTGTGCCAGGATCTTGAGGCCATAGAACAGTGCACGCCGTTTGGTCTGGGGTCCGGGTCCTGGTGGAGGCCTGTGATGGCACCGAGCGGCTTGAGCTCCCCTAAGCTCAAAGTGTGCAGGCAGACCCGGCCCTGTGACCTGACATCGTAGGTGGAAGGGGTGGCATCCACAGTGATGGTGAGCCCTTGATGAAGTTGAAGTGCAATAGGTTCCACTGCCAGAGGCCATGTCCTTGAAGAGAGGGCAGCCCGGTGAGATGTTCATAGACCTCGGCATTGATCCATCCACGTGAGCACAAGGGATCTTCATCGACATTGTTGACCCTCTCAGTCCACTGGAGTGGCATCGGTTTGTGGCCTTTTCCATGGTGCCAAGTGCAAAGCCAGGTGATGTGCTTGGAGGTTGCCGGAACCTTGCACAGAGGGCACAGCTTGACTTGGCCCTTGGACAATTGCCTGGATCCATGCATGGATGCATATATTTATGTTTATATAATTTTATATTATATATATATGTATAAATGTATGTATAGTATAAATGCATGTATTATACTGTATTGTATTTCGTTGTGTTGTACTGTTTTGTATTTTACTGTAGTGTACTGTACTGTATGCATGCATGCATGCATTCATGCATGCCTGTCAAAAGGGCATATATTGTTATATAACTATATATATATTATATATGTAGTAAAGTATTAGTGAGCCGATATCTCCGTAACCTGGCGGAGTGGTTGCTGCCGGACTTCATGCTGATGTTCAAAAGGCATGCAGCTGGCCCCACACCACCAATGAGATACCAGAGGGCTGAACTACCGTATTTTGACACTTAAGTGTGCAGAATATAACCTCACAACGAGATGTTTGATCATCCAAGTAAGGTGAACATCAAGTGCCCAGAACTTCAGTCTTTGGCCTGCATTAGTCAGGGTTTGCAGCAATGTTGGTCATGTCCAGGTCACGGCCATGTCTGCGACTGAGACTGACATTTGCTACCTGCAGCAGGCTCTGATGGGCTCGCTTGCACGAAGGCTGCATTTAAAACGTGGCCACGCTTTCCATATTCCTATCACTAGGATTCACTTGGCATTTTTGTAGCCTGAGTCTTTTTATCACTTGGCAGGAACCTCCAGCACTTGCGTGGCAATAGAAACGGGAATGAAAGCAGAGCTAAACGGTTGGGAGGCCTTACATTTTTTGCAGACCACATGCCGTTGCACCCAATTGTTAAATATGTGTCTTCGTGTGACTGCATGTAGCGCTTCGAGCACTTATTGTAGCTCTAGCTTTGTATCACGGTGTTTTGAAGTTTGTTGCTTTTGTTTATATACACACTGCGTATAGGGTGTGTGTGTGTGTGCTTGCCCTGCCGGTGCCTTGAGGCAAAATCCAAGCACATAAACAATGCTCGAGTGAAAACAACATGGCATTGCCGGGGTTCGAAACTGGATGCTGGAGACATGGCTTCCGGGTTCATGGCAACGCAACTTCGGAAGAGAAATGTGATAGCTAGGCTTCCTCTTTCAGTCTTTCGGAAGAACAGCTGCATATACTGCAATAGCAATAGTACTAATATTACTTGTAGAGTCTATATAAGATAAACATGCAAAAAATATGTACATGCATATATATATATATATTTTACACACATCCTAATGCCCAGCAACTTGCTCTCAACTACAGCCAATCAAGAGTTGACTCAGAGTTGACCAAATACCTAGAGCTTGCTTCTATGAGTGAGCACCCGCAATCGAGCGGTGCACTTGGGTATAGATGTAGCTGTGTAGCTTGTGTAAACTGAACCCATGGCCCCGCATACAGGTGGAGCACGGCAAAGCAGCAAAGAAGCTTGGCATTAACTTTGTGACTCTATAAGGTATGCTTGTGTTATCTTCACCCAAGTGGCAGAGTCAGGACCGGTTCCGTTGAATTGTTCTTACACTGCGTCAGCCTGGGCCCACTCTCAGATAGTCATTACTCCGCATCTCTATTTCTTTAAGAGATAAGGTTCCAGTAGACTGCCTGTTTTCAGGTTGATTAGAAGGGACTTAGCAAATTGAAGTCATTCTTGAATGGAGAACACCGTGCAAGCTACCAAATCAAGTCAGCGACTCAGCAGATAATGGTCATCTTCCAAACACACTCATGCCGTGATCTGGTTATGATCTAGCAGTCTAGTCAGTCTCGTTTTGGGTTTCGATCACAGATCACATCGCCATGAGACCTCATTCTATTTGATGAGGCTCAGCCTGGCATTTAGCTGGGAACCCCTACCCTTGGACCGCAAACAGCTACAAGCGCTCAACGAAGAAGATGAGCGCAGGTGCGAATCATCAAGGAAGAGTTGGGGAGTTCCAGTCATGCTGATTCATCTGTAGTATAGAGTATCATGCGGACACCCCCATTGGCAAACAAGATAAGTCGAGGTGGCAGACCCCGAGGCAGAGTACACATGCCAAATGAAGTGCCAAAGGAAAATCCTGGTGGAAGTCCTGGTGGATGATGGTGGATGTTCAGATCACTGAGGAAGAACTAGAGCCATCTTCCATCCCCTAATGTTGTTTGGACTGGGACTACCTGGATGTTGATCCTGCAAGACTCGGGCTGACTGTTCTGTTCTGTCAGCGAGTCAATGCACAGAAGCCCAAGACTCGTATCATCTATCTCTACCCTAGTTGGTCATCCTGAGCTGCAAGTTTGGCTTTCCATGAATGTTTTAATACTCAAGGGTGACCAGGAACCACAGTTCCCCAATTTCGTACGGTTGAAGCTTGCAACAAGCCGCGCTGGCAATCAATGTCAATAAAGATGCAATTAGAGAAGCGATTTCGAATCACTTCACGGCAGTTTGCCACCTTCTTGCACCATTACTATACTTGTTTGGAAGCCACGCTGCTAAGTGATAGGATGCTGCAGGGTGACTATCATCACTTGCCCTTGTGCAGGCAGCGTGATATTGTTACGCGCCTGAAGCAGAAAGGCATCACAACGTCACAGATAAGATCAGCAGCCAAGATCCAGGACTTACAGCAACAGACAGTCAACAGACAGAATGTCAACAGACAGCTTATTCGTTGTTTTTGATGAGGAAGAGTCTTTTGGAGCTATTGTGTTTTTGCTTGCTGTGGGCTGTGGGTGGATTGATTTCTTTTAGCTTCTTTGCTGCTTTGTGGCAGGGAGAAGGCCTTTCCAAGGAGATACTCAGCCTTTTGAGTAGACTTTGCACTAAGCTTGAATCAGCATCACTGTAACACAGCAACCAGGTAACGCCAAATAAGTGGGCCCAGCCAAAAGCGCAGCACCACGGAGTTTGAGTGATTCACCTGATGCTGAAAGCATGTCAGGATGCTTGCAAAGCCCACGGCTTCCCCAGGAGACTTGACTGGAAAAAGGATAAAGACTCTCTCACTGTTGAGCTGGAATTACTGTATACACACGTACATTCTATTTGCATCTACATGTATTGCGTCAGGCGTTGCGGAAGCCTTCATAGAGCCTTCAGCTTTCTTACTATTACTTACTACCCCTAATTTTCAGGGTGGGTCTTGGATCTTGGGTCCTGACCTTGGGCACTACCTCTCACGGAAACAAGAACACGTTCTGCACGGTATTTGCGCTCCCAGCGACGTTCGACGTGGCACGGCACGGCACGAGACCAGGTTTGTGGATGCTGAGTTCATGCCGACGGACAGCTCCCTTTTCGAGGATCCCACGCATCAGAATCATCCACCGGTGATTTGGAAACGCCCAGAGGACTTCTGCAAAGGCAGCGTCAGGCAGGGCCCGGTGCACTGGGCGCGCGACCCCACAAGGCCGCCGCAAGCCACCAGGGCCACAAGCCATCACAAGCTTCGTTGGGTAACTCAGTCATAGCCTTTGAAGTCATCAAATTTTCCGGATCGACCATCTTCAACCATGAGCCCCACAGGATCTTCTCCGATGACATCGCTCCATCGGATATTAAGCAGGGTGCTTTGGGCGACTGCTGGTTCCTCGCAGCCTTGGCAGCCATGGCAGAGGAACCCGATTTGGTGCATCGCGTCTTTGCCCCATGGCTGGGAAGATGAGGGAGAGGGGGCAGCCGTTGCATTTCGACAAGACTGATATCGGTGAGAATGAGCGACCTGAATTCTTGAGTTTCCTGAGTAGGTTGTGTGCTTGAGAAATCGCGGACTGTTGAGATTTCAGATTCCTTATTATGATTGTCTCTTCAGTTGAAGTTGGCTTTGCCTAAAGCAGACGCAACTCAGAATGTTTAGAAGTTATATAAGGCCAACAATGGAGAAGCGAACGAGCAGGGTGTCTACGAGATCAGCTGCTTCAAGAACGGGCGGCCCACAACGAGGCTTTTTCAGATTGGCAATGTTGATAGCTTTTTTGGCTTTTGGGCCGTTCTCACTCCCTTCAAGAACGTCCAAGTTTTTAGATCGGTGCCAGAGCAACTTGTTTTGACCGTTCGACGGGGGAGGTCGGTCAATCGACTTCTGACATGGAAGCTTAGCAGCTTAGCCTATGCCTCCAAATTGAGGCTCCCCCAACCCTAAATACATCAAGTCGCACTTTTCGCACAAGGCCCAAGTCCTCGATGCAGCTGAGGATCGTCGTGGATGACTTCCTCCCCTGCTCACCCAACACAGGAAAGCCATGCTATGCCCACGTTGATTTGCAAGGTGCGCGGAGCACTCTGACTGGCTCAGCCGACCACAGGACACGGAGAAGAGATCTCGCTTAGGACAGAGACCGGTCACGAAACACATATTGCTTGATACTGCGCTAAAAAGAAAACAATAGAAACGATATGACAAGATAATAATGTAAGTGTAACCAATTGAATAGTGTAACCAAAAGAAAACGATAGAAATGATAGTAACTTGTCCAATCGAAATGCCTCAAATCAGCCAGACCTACGAATTTCAGGTGGCCATGTTGATCCATTTGGACTGGGCTCCAGCGGAGCTGTGGGTCCAGTCCTTGGTTCCTCCGGTCCATGTTTCCTCTGCATTGTGGCGACATAATGGGACCGAGCTTCGGCACAAACTGAAGGACTTAGAAGCCTCAGCCTACATCTCTGAGCAGTTTTTTCATTTTTGTGGGTGCCGTGCTCCATTGGTGGATCTGGGGATTATAAGATATTATAAGGGTTGCCCAATAAATATTCGTACAAGGTGCTTAGCAGGCAGCACAAAAGAAGTGCCGTAATTAGTGCTGTTGTGTGTCGTCATTTTAACATGAGCCTTCAGAGAGGCGTTGATCAAATCCGGCTGCATGATCGAGCCAGCGATGCTGGCAGGCCGCAATGCCAATGAGCTTTGGGTGATGCTGCTGGAGAAAGCATGGGCAACTTGTTCCTTATTGAAACATCACGACCTGAAAGGCATAGCAACGGCAAGTGAGCAGGAGGCATTTGGGGTTAGGGTTAGGAGTTGGGAGTTCTCCACCAGCAAGGCTTTCCCACTGGAGCATGAGGAGGTTCTCCGGAAGTAGGCTTGGCATCACAAGCTTGAGCTTCCACTTTGTGATGGAGGAGCATTAAGCAAGGGAATACCATGATGCCTGATGGGCCTGAACCAATTTGCCCACTGGTCTCAGGGCAAAGGTTTTGTGATTGCTGGGCACATGGTGGGGTGCCACGAGTCAATGGGGTTGATCGAACACATTCATAATTCTGCTATTGGTTGAATTTGGGTTGCATCATATTATACACTGTATAAGTTGGTTCCTTTCCTTTGCTTACATTTGGTTTCAAGAAATGGGACCTGATTTCAATAGCTGTTTGCCCTAGCCTGCATTTCCTTGGAACCTGCAAAACCGCAACCACAAAGAACAACACACCTTATTATGATGAACTGGCTTCTTGTGAAGTACAGTGGCCCAAGTGCACATGGATTGCTTAACCATGTGATTGGGAATGATTTCGGCTTCCCACCTCAATGATTCCCACCTTGCCTTGAGGCAAAGCTACATGGCAGCTACGAGAGGATCGAAAGTGGCATGCCGTATCTCGGGAAACATGAGAATGGTAGCTTTTCTCAGTGGTTGGACTGCATCATCAGATACCGACTTGGGGTTCCCAAGAAGCCATTTCTCTGTGAAATTGCAACCACTCCCCAAACTGGTCAAAGAGATTCATTCTAAAAGGAGCTACCGACCCCTAAAGTTAAAGTGGATCATGTGTAGCTTTGGCACTAGGGGCTCCTGGCATCGCTACTAGGAACAAGAAGCTACTAGGGGCTCCTGGCCTTACAACTAGGAGCGATCAGACGCTACTACTAACAAAGGGCATCGCTACGAACGGAGCGATCGGACGCGAACCGAACGGGGCGATCGCCCTGGCCGATGTACCGCTCCGGATGTGCCGCTCCGGATGGCCCTTTTGAGGTACCGCGCCTTGATGGATTTGCTGGGGGCAGCTGGAAAAGAGCCCCTTCGAGACCAGAACGGTTCGATGGAACAAGTGGAACAAGAACGGTGAAGAGTGTCCGTTGAAAGATCTCAAAGGATGCTTGGGTCATGTTTTGCCAGAGTTTCTCAGGAACATAGCTGGTTCGTTCACCTTGTTTGTTCAGCTTCTCGTTGATCGAATTGGCTGTTTGAAAAAGACTCAGGTACCACCTCGAAACGGAGAAAAAACCAGATGGCCTGGTCTCCAAGGACAAGTTCTTTTCGATGCTGTGACATGGCATCCACTTCAGAGCCACATGCGGACACACACACACATGCAAACACACACGCACATACACTTTTGCAATCCTTTGCGACCTTTAAGCCCAGACTTCGTGGACTTTGGACGTTGCTTCATCCAATCAATCCTTTGTGACTGCCTTCCTTTGTAGGGTCCTGGAACACATGGTTGGTTCAAGGTGCAGATACGATGAAGCGGGCTACTTGATGGTGGCTGGCACTCCAGGTTCTGATACTTTTACAAAAGGTGACTTGTCACAGCATGTGCGTTTGCAAAAGAGTTGAATGTAACAAGCATACGTCAACATGACACCTATCCTAGACCGTTGCAACTAGCTTTGTGTGAAGAAGATCAACCATTGTGCAGACTGGTGCTTCAATATAATGACGGCAAACAAGGCAGGCACCGTTTCTTTTTGGCTTGACTTTGACCGGGTTCCGTTTGAGGTGACAAGTCCAAGACGCCTTTGTCTGGGCTGATCCCGGGTCATGCCTACACACTCCTTTCAGCACACGAAGCGAAAGGAGTAAGGCTGCTGAAGCTGCGAAACCCTTGGGGGGATCACGAGTGGACAGGCGATTGGAGCGACAAGAGCAGCTCGGCGAGCCAGCAGCTCATAGGGTTCTTGCAAAAGTTGCCTCTTGACAGCGTGTGTTTTTCCAACTTGTTCTGAAAATGATGATGAGTAGGAGGAGTACTGGACAGAATGTTGTATACTTCATTAGTTCTATTTTTTGCTGAATTTTGATGAACTTTGATTATGTGCTTGGTTAGGAACGAGTATTCAACTTACGGCATTCCTTGTTTCATGTCATGAATGTTGTTTCCATCGAGCCACCCATCGTTTCGAGGTAGTCTTTGGACCCAACCCATGAAAGATGCTTTCCATCCCAGCTTCGATGCCAACGATGGCGAGTTCTGGATGTGCGAAAGAGACTTTCTGCGCCTTGGGCGAAACCCATTTCGATTCGATACTACAAAGTTATAATGTGTTTTTCTACTATTGACAATAGTTTTTATGTATATTTATAGACATTGTGCACCACCATCTAAACCAGTTGAAACACCGTATGTAAATGCACATGAGATGTTTTCCCAATCCCAGTTGCTGGGGTTTTCTCAAAATAGCAGAGGACTGGGGACCCTGAGCACAGCGGTGCTTCACGTTTCACCACCTTCGGTTTTGCGGTCACTCATGTCCTGAGTGTCCTCCCATGTCCTCCCTCAATCCGAGAAAAAACACAAAACTGTTTCCGGACAACGTCCGCCGCACCGCGCCTCCTGGGCGACCAGCCGAGGAGTCACTTTTCTTCGGTGGGTGTTTGCTTCATCAGCGACTCCTGGGCAACCAGCCGAACGGCCTTGTCCAGCGATGTCACCGATTTGACGCTTCGCAGCGGAGGGACGGAGACAGAGTGACCGCTAAATACACCCGGTGAGTGACCTGGAGGGACCCGGAGGGACGGCAGTCAGTCCTCTACACGGCCACCGTTTTGGTGCCAAACGCAGTTTGGGGATGGGAGGTTGTGCCCAACGGTGCCACGAGAGTTTGGGGACCATTTCGTTTTCAAAAATGCAGTTCCCTGATGATCTGGGGCGGAACATTTTCAGGACGCCAGAGGATGGTGACGTATGGTAAAATGCAAGTGGCCACAACTGCGCAGTCAAGGTGCAGCCAGCTGGTATGCATCAAGACAGTTGCCCCCATCAAGAAGGGCTTCATCAGCTTGATTCAGGAGGACACACGGATCAAAGGCCTGCTGAAACAGCTGCTTTCCACGGGGAGGGGTCAAGTTTTCTTGGTGGAGCTTTGTTGCGCCAAAGTGGTATGAATTAGAATTAGGCCAATGTTGTCAGAGCATGTCAGAGCGCCTTGACTTGTTCTCCCACCCATCATCAGGAACACGTTTGATCAGCGTGTACGGTTCGCAACAGTTCCCAACTTTTTTTGTGCATCAAAACCTTTGCTGTAGTGTGTCGCTGAACCAGTTTGAACTCAGCAAGAGCGGCACGACCATGATTGTGCAAAGTTGTCTTAAACTATCTTAAACTTTAGACTCTTCCAGAGTCTAGAGGTACTATAGATGAAACCATTGCCTATCTATGGTCTATCAGCCCACGTCTTTGAAATCCGCACACCTGTATGACAGGCGGAATCTACGTTTACATTTATGATATGTGATTCTGGCCTAGGCAAAACGGAGACAATGATCACACAGCCACACTGGGACTGGGAAGCTCTTTTGCTTGACAGATGTTGCACAATGCCACAATGCTCTTTGTCCTTGCTCTCAGGCGCACCTTCCTACACTCAGCCACCTGGATTAGAAGGACATCACAGCCAGCCAAGTGAGACTTGAGATTTGACTTCAAATGTGCGCCTACCTAAGTGTATAAGTATAGACTCACACAATTTCACAGGCAAGAATGATTGTTGTCGTGTATGGTAAATATATGTATATAAATATTCTAGCTTCATGTCACCAGGCAGCAGAAGACCCGGACAAGAAGAGGACGTGACACAACCAGACAAGCTGCTGATTGTTTGGGAAAGCAAGACACCAGGAGGACAACCCTGGGACAACCGGAGGACAACACCCGGACGGGTTTGCTGGCACGGTGATGGACTGTGGAGCCACGAGGAGCCAAAAAAACTTCGCGGCAGAACCCTATTTTAGATCCGCAGATCGGTCCGTGACGCTTGCGTGACGCTTGCGTGACGCTTGCGTGACGCTCCGAGGCTTTCGTTTGCTCTCTATGGGCCTGTGGTTGATGGGAAGCCGAAAGCAGAGGTGCTCCGTAGCCACTTGTGGCCTGTGCGAGAGCTGGTCGAGGAGGGGCCCTAAGAGTGTGAATGATACTGAGACCCGCTCGTCAGACAGATGCAGGGGTTCCAGATCAATCAGATTGGCTGTGCACACTGACACAAGAGCACCTGGGAGGAAATCCCGCATGAGAAGCCCCTACCTGCCGGCGCTGCTTGCTTGCACCTGCTGTTTGGAACGTTTGCCCTGCGAGGGGTCGATATTTTGCACTTGACTCAGACTCGCTGTGGAAGTATGTGGAAGTAATGTCACTCGTCATAGTCATAGGTTGCATTTGCGGAACCCGAGCAATCCTGAAGTCGTCGCTCAAGCGACGCAATGCGCAACAATTGAGGAATATTGGGTGGCGGTCTTCACACCAGACAAGGCACCAAAACATGACGCGTGTGCCAAACGTGCACCAACCAGTTTAGGTAAAATACAATAAATTACGCAGTTTGCGCATGTTAGCGAATTTCAACTGCTTGCCGTGAACGGATTTCAATCTTGCGCATGCACCTACAGGACTGTTTGATGCATTTGGCTGGCTATGCCCCACGTTTCTGCGTCTTCTTGTTACGAGGGTGTGTTGCTTGATTGCCATGTTGTATATTTGGCATGCGTTTTACTCCGGGGGTTAATGATCATCACGTGATGTGAATGATGATATTCCAACAGCTGCACCAATTATGTATGCTGTGAGGTGTGCAAACGCACATGCCCCTTCCCCTCTATTGTCAGTGCTCCTACAGACAGGCAGCACTGACAGTCGCTGTTTGCTACTAGCCCTCCGAAGGACAGGTTTGCTGTTTCCGTGCGATAGTTTTTTCAGAGATTTGATTGTTCTTGGTGCCGTTCTGGCTGCCCAGGGCGCAGGGCGCTAGTGACTCGTCCCACGTGTTGCCACTGTTTCATTGGTGCTCCCCCTTTCAACAAGTTTAAAATCCCACATTTCAAAAAAAGTACTTTCATTCCACTCCTGAACCTTCAAGTCTTGGGGGGATATGGTTTTTCAATGCGGGTATCCCCTCAACACTTTCTACCGGTCGGTCATGTGCGGGACACCTCGGTCGAAAGGTCCCAGATCGCCCCTTGACGCTGGTGCTGCAGCTTGATGCGCAGCATAGCCAGGCCAGCCAGCCTCGCTTGGTGGATAGCCCGGATGAAAAAATGCATATATGGTTTTCATCCGGGCTATCCATGGACTTCTGTTTGACAAAGCCCAAGCCACCAGCCAATGCGGCATGTACAATGATCGATATTGTATGGTGGATGGACAGTAGATGGCCCGATTCCGATCGAGAAAAGGGTGCTTTTATATGCTTTTATTATACTGGGTGGACGTTTGAGGGATTTTTTATTTTTTTGTATTTCTGCAA